CCTCCCCACCCTGGCCGGACGAGGAGAGAACAGCAAGAGCAAAAGCAAGAAAACCCACAGGTTAAAACAAAGACAGTCTAAGAGATCTTTAGACCCTGGCCCAGAAGGGAAACAACCCAGGCGAAACACTCAGGAGCGAAGCAAAGGCAACCACTAACCTCTGCCCACAGGCACACTCAGCCAGGCTCAAAAAACACAACCCTGGAAGTCAAAAAACACCTTTTTCTTCTTCCTCTACCCCGTTTCTACTGCCAAGTGTGACACTACACTGCAGGCAGTCCAGGTGGCTGTCCCAGCTCTGTCCCTTGCTTGGGGGAGCCAGGGAAGAAAGCCTTGATGTGCAAGCACTGCCCAGCTCACCTCCCTGGGCTTAGGCTCAGGCCCAGAGCCCCGCTCAGCCCAGCCCAAAGCAGGACTGCTGAGCACCACCAGGCATGGAAATATTCCCAAACCCCAGAGGCGGCCTCCAGTCTCCCCAGGGGTTTTCTTCCCGGGGAGGCAGCACCGAGTGTCTCCCACTGGCTCTGCCCAAAGGGTCACCGGAAGGGCCCCCTCAAACAGTCCTGGAACCGCAAGGACGCGCCAGGCGGCTGCAATTGCTCTCCAGAGAGCCCCGACGCTTCGGAAAGCTGCTGGTCCAAAGGAAAGGCAACAAGGCTGGGGAATCAATCCTGTGAGGAGCCAGGGAAGGAGCTGGGAGTGTTCAGGGTGAGGAGGAGGAGGCTGAGGGGAGCCCTCATCCCTCTCTGCAGCTCCTGACAGGACATTGCAGAGAGGCTGGGGCTGGGCTCTGCTCCCAGGGGATCAGGGACAGGACAAGAGGGAACGGCTGGAAACTGCCCCAGGGGAGGGTCAGGCTGGGCAGGAGGAGAAAATGTTTCCCAGCAAGAGTGGTGCGAGAGTGGAACAGGCTGCCCAGGGAGGGGGGAGTCCCCATCCCTGGGGGGTTTCAGGGCCGTTGGGATGAGCTGTGGGGGATGTGGGGTCAGGGAGAACTTTGCGGAGTCGGGCTGAGGGTTGGACTCGGTGATCCCGAGGGGCTTTTCCAACCGGAGTGGTTCTGGGATTCCATTTCTTTTCTGTCAGCCGGTGGGGATGTGGCTGCTCCATTCCTGACCACATCCACAGATGGCCACATCCAGCTTTCCACTTCAGTGCCAAGAATCTCTTTTGCAGGTCCCTTGATCTTGCTCTGGTTTATGGCAAAACCCGCCTTCGGAAGGATCTGAATTGTTCTTTTCCTTTCTCAAACGCTTGCTACAGGTTTTACCCCTGTACCCCGATGGCACTGGGGTACACCAGGGTCCCCCAAAGCTTTGTGCTCCCGTGGGTCCCTCGAATCCTCATGGCCCGGTCGAGTCCATTGTCCCTTTCCTCTACCTGGCTAAAAACAGGGACCCCACTTGTCCTTGTTTTGGCTGGAATAGGTTGGGGTTTTTTTCTTAGTAGCTAGAAGAGCGCTGTGCTTCAGATTCCGTAAGGGATTTGGCATGCGAAAAATGTCAATAACACACCAATGTTTCCAGTGGTGGCCAAGAGATCAAGGACTTTCCAACTCCCCACGTCCTGCCCAAGACGCCGGGAGGGAGCAGAGCCCTTGCACTGGACTCAAACTGGCTGGTGAAATATTTGCTCCCACTTTTGGGCTTGATTTCGGAATCTGGGCTTCTCCAGGAAGGTGATGTGCATTACCCACTTGTATTTCCTATTATTGTTTTATTTTATTTCAATTACAGTGGTTTTATCTCAACCTACAAATCTCCCTTTACCCCTCTGGCTGCCAGCTGGGTTTAAATTACAAGTCTTTTTTTTTTTTTTGGGGGGACGACGACACATCAATTTAATTTAAACACCACCACCACTTTATTTAACGACCAGAGTAGGACAGCAAGAAGTATAACCACATCTTGAAAACCACACACACACACACACACAACCCCCCTCCCTTCTTCCCAGGCTCAGCTGTGCTCCCCATTCCTCCCCCTCCTCCTCCGCAGGGGCACAGGGATGTGGTCAGTTTGCCACCCGCTGTTTCTGCTGCTCCTTCCTCCTCAGGGGGAGGACTCCTCACACTCCTCCCCTGCTGCAGTGTGGGGTCCTCCCCGGGTTACAGCTTGGCATCTGCTCCCCCAGTGACCCCCACAGGATGAGGGGGGGGGGTCTCTGCTCTGGCACACCCCCCCCTTTCTCCTTTTTTCCACTGACCTCGGTGCTCACAGAGGCGTCTCCCTCAACTCCTCCTCCCAGGTTCCCCTTCTTAAATATCTTATCGCAGAGGCGTAGCCACTGTCACTAACTGGCTCGGCCTTGGCTGGAGCTGGGTCCAACTTGGAGTCTGGGGAGCTTCAAGAAGCTTCTCACAAGGGTCACTCACGGCTGCAGCCCCCTCCCCTGCTACCAAAACCCCACCACACAACTCCTGGCCGTCATCTGACTCCTGCCACACAGGCCAGACATCCCTGTGTCAAGATTAGGAGGAGAAGCATCCTCAGCCCTTCTACTGCATCTGGGGGAATTGTTCCACAGCACCTGGAGCAGAAATCCTCCGGGATGGACCTTTTGTAGCTTTTCTGGCACAACTGACAAATGTGGGTTCAAGGGGGCACACGCAGAGGGAACCAGCGGGTCACGCGGCCCCAGACGTCACCCAGGTCTCTCTCTGGTGGTTGTTCACCTCCTCCACTTCCCTCAGAGAACAGACCAGGAGGTCCGTGCGACACCAGTTTACTCAGGTGACAGTCCATCCTTGAGAGGAGATGCCTCTGGTTTAACCACAGTGTCCATTTGTATCATCCTTAAATGCTGGGACCCTCCAGCTCCCCTGCAGGCGCTGAACATTGTCCTGGTAAGCACAGGCCAGGTCCCAGCACAGCACTAGAAGCTGCTTTGGCAGAGAGAAAACATCCCTCCTTGTACTGGGAGTACTGGGATGACAGCAACGCAGGCACCCAACACCAGACCAGGCTCACAGCACCGCTTTTGTCAGAGGTTTGCCAGGCAAAACAAAGCAACGCAGCAAAGGCTGGAAGCTGCCATCTCAAAGCCCTTCCAAGCAAAAACTAAACGGCAATCAATTCAGTCTAGCACCTCCGATCAAATCTGTTGTGGAATCTTGATCCTCCTCACCGAGTTCCAGAAAGGACTGGGGATGTGACCCCCACCAGCAGCCACGCAGCTCACTCACCCCCGGCCCAGCAGGACAGGGGGAGAAAAGGAAGCACAGGAGTTGAGAAAACTCATGGGTTGAGATAAAGACAGGATAATAGGTGAATGAAAGGGAGGAAAAAAGAAACCCAAGCAAAGCAAAGGCAGTTATCACTCACCACCTCCCACACGCAGAGCAGTGCCCAGCCAGGCTCCAAGCATCAGCCACCCTGGAAGCCAAAACCCATCTTTTTCTTCTTCTTCCACCCAGTTTTTCCTGCTGAGTGTCCCTGACACCACACAAGCACTGTTCAGCAACAGGCAGAGCACCAGCAGCGACCAACCCTGGCTGAGCCACAAACACAAACCACGGCTCACAGCGAAGGCAGTTCACTCCATCTCAGCCAGGGCCAGCACCGCTCAGTGACATAATTCACTAAAACAGCCCAAAAAAACCCTCCATCCCAACATTCGTGGGGTTCAACGCAACACATTTATGTCCAGGCACAAAAAAAACCCAAAAAACAACCCAGCACAAGTCCTTCAGCAAGTAATTCTTAAGACAAAAAAGGGCATTTTAGCACCTTCATGGAATATCAACAGCAGAAATCTAGCAGCCCTTTTCGATTTTCACTTTCAAAGTCAAATTTTAGAGCAGTACAAATCCTGCAGACTGTGTCCTAAGTACATTTATATTCACCCAACAGCTCCGAGGCACACGGAGCTCTGCGCTCCCGATGCGGAGATGCGCCTTAGAGCATCACAAAGGGAAAATACTAATACTTCTGCCTAAAACTTACTAAAAATAAAAAACCCAAACCCCATTCGGAATGTTTAACTTGATGGCAAAGAAATAAGAAAACATTTTATTTACCTTCAAATGCGAAACATTATAAAAAACAAACAAACAAAAAAAAGGTTTCAATGTTCTTCCTGTTTCCCACACAGAAGAGCTCCTTGTTTGGTAAGGACTAACACGAGCACGGGTGAGCTTCCACTGAGCTCAGCCCCCAAACCGAACTGCGAGATAGTCAGGAAACAGAAAACAGGAAGAAAAGGAAACCAGCAGCATAGGAGGGAGCAAGCAGGGAGTTTTGCAACCACTTGGAACCCCACCCCTCAGTTCTATCAGTTGTCACAAGCTAGAGAAGCACAGATGGGTCAGTCCCCTCGCGTCCTCCACCCTTCAACCCAGCATGATTGTTCTGTTAGTTCTGGCAGATTTTGTTAAATCCGCAAAAAAAATGTTACAAAAAACACAATTAAAGATACTTGCTGTCCTTGAAGAGTGACTTCTCAACAGGGAAAGTAATTACCTCACTTTTACACCCACCCTCTTGAAGACCTCGTAGCATGTTTAGTTTATTATTTTAAATGTCTAGTGAGTGATCACACACCAGAGAGAAGAGCAAAACCCAAAACTGAGCACACATTTCAACATCAGTTCTGGGCTGTAAACCAGGATGGATGATCGTGGGTTGTTTTGGTTTGGGTTGTGGTTTTTTTTTTCCAAATGCATAATACATTTTAATCAGCTAAGACTTTTAAAAATAATCCTATAGAATTTTTTTTAATTAACAACTTACGAGACATTATTGTATTAAAATAATTGTAATAGAGCAAATACACTAAAACAATATGCATCTATATTGAAAAACAAGCTCAAATCTCCAAGGACGTGAGGTTCCTGGGTAAAGCACTATGAACCAGCTCATGCTACGGTGCTAAAACGCTTTGCCTTCGCCAGAGAGAATTTTTGTCGTTGCTTCGGCTATTTTGACCAATTCAGATCAATTACTACTGTCTCCAAAGCCAAGAAAAAGAGAAGATAGCTTTTTAACTCCAACACATAAGTATGAGGTGCCAGAAAAGATGTCTGTGCTCCCAGCTCTGGAAGGATACAGTGATGAAAACCAACCCCTCCAGCTAACCAGGGTGAATGTTACTTCACTCAACGTCCAGTTTTAAAGCCAAACCCACTATTCCTGAACAGCCAGATCGCTTCGTTTCCATGTTAAATTCTATGGGTGTAATTAAAGGTCTGAGTTTTCACTGAAGCACAGCTGGCCGGAGACAGAAACACGCGTCAGGATCAGGAAGCAAACGGTGCGTTTCCCCAGCTTTCACCAACAGGGCAAAAGCCGAGATTGAGTAAACACCCGTTGTACTATCAAAGTTGTTAAATCAATCCGCACGCCGCCGGCGTGCCAAGCCTTCGGCTGCAATGCAGATAAAGGCTGTGCCGCTGTTTACAAGCGCCTGTTTGTTCATCTGCTTCTCACACAGCAAGAAAATACCGGCAGGTGCCGGGTCGCTGGGGCAGGGCATGCCCGGGACTGCCTGCAGCCCCCGGCAGGGCGCTCCGTACCCGCCGCCGCGCTCAGTCCCCCTCGGTAGCAAAATAAAGAAATAAAAAAGGCGGCAGCCGCGAGGCCGAACGCCCCGAGGCGCCTGTCCCCAGCTCAACGCCCGTTACCAACGGGCTGCGGCGAGGCGCTTGGCGGCGACCGGGGCAAGAAGGCGGCGAGGCAGTTACCCCGCGCGTAG